TTTCGTTTTCGTTTTCGTTTTCGTTTTCGTTTTCGTTTTCGTTTTCGTTTTCGTTTTCGTTTTCGTTTTTGTTTTTGTTTTTGTTTTTGTTTTTGTTTTTGTTTTGTTTGTTTATAAAATGTCAGTTTTAATCGGTTGTATCGGCCCGCCTTTTTCTGAACATTTAGTATGTGAACGGTAACGGTATACATGGGACCTTAGATCACATATCCATATGATCCACATGTAATAGGAGCGCTATATAAATCATTTAATCATATATTTTCATTCGCCGCAGCTGTGTATATTCAGCACTGTTAATGAGAGATGTTTGAAGCAGGTTTCAAAATACAAACTGGAATAAATAGAAAGCCCCCATGCTTGGAGCTTAAAGGATCGGCACTGCGCGATAGTAAGATCAATACGAGTCCTTCCAGTTAAATGATCGTCGACCGTTGCGTGAGGCAACAACACGCGCTCGATAACTCTACAGCTGATGAGAGTTAATAAATAATCCGCCTGCAAAATATTCTCGTCATTGAAACTCTCATTCAATTTATTAATACTCAAGAACAACCAAACGTGCAACTTGATTCTAGAGTCTTATCTTTTTTTTTTTTTTTTTTTTTTTTTTTTTTTTTTTTTTTTTTTTTTTTCATTTTTTTTTTTTTCAATTTTTTACCGCTAATGTATTCAAATGCATTATTTTTGCCGCAGGGGGAGTTTCTTATATTTCTGAAAAAAAGCGAAGCGCCTTTAGGTCATGTTTGCGGACTCTTCGCTCGTTCGTATGTTTATTCATTCATTCTTTTGCAATATTGGTTCAGGAGTTAAGTTCCCGCTTCGTTTGCCCCGTTTACGCTGGCGATTTTTGTGGCGATTTTTGCGGCGATTTTTGTGGCAATTTTCGGAAATATGAAATCTTTTGCGTCATCCTTTAAAAGAGACATTCGTCTAGGAAAATCTTTGTATCCTGAAAAAACTTTACAAGTAAATTCTTTACCATTATTTATTATGGAAAAAATCGCAAAAAATTCGCAGCATGCAAATATCGCCGCAAAAATCGCTAGTGTAAACGGGGCTTTAGACCCTTTGTTAGACTGAATGAATTTCAAAGCTTCCAAGGAATCTTCTTTAAATAGCATACAGATGAAAGAGTAGTTCGTTTGTTGAATGACACCATGATATATGCCTATTCCAAAAAAGGTTTTCGGAGTCAAAAGCAATAGACATTCCTAGATCCAATAATTGCTGGAATGATATCCCGAGTGTTGTTTGTAGTCGATGATACATTATAAACTGACCTCGGATCATTAGTGTGTACAATAATGATAATAATAATAATAACAATAATAATAATAATAATAATAATAAT